CTCTTTTTGTTCTTAACTTCTGCAAAATGTAGGGGAATAACTGAATGGAAGATACCTGTGCATATCCTAGTTTCCCCCCTTTCCTGGGGGTACTCTACTTCCAATTAAAATGTGGAGACAAACAGGGTTTAATTAATACTTTTAAATTTAACATTCAATTGAAATTTTGGATTACCTACTAGTTTGAAAGAGAAACAATATGATTTTTTTCCCCAATAAGTTACATTTTTTCCTTGTGATACTGGGGGTTGAATCCAGGGGCACTATACCACTGAACTAGACCTTTTTTATTTTCATTTTGAGGCAGGGTCTCACTAAGTTGCTGAGGCTGGCCTTGAATTTGCAATCTTCCCTTCTCAGCCTCTGGAGCAGCTGGGATTACAGGTGTGCACCATCATGCCCAGTTACATAAATTGATTTTTAATGTTAACTAGGATAGACTATATGTTACAAATTTGGAAAGAATTTGGCAATACAATTGGCTCAATTGCTACAAATCGAAAATATTTGAAAAAAGAAACTGTACCAATCATGTACATTTTCAAGTGGTTATTCCCTAAACAATATACTACAATAACTATGTATACAGTATTTATGTTGTAACAGGTATTTAAACTAATCTAGAGATGCACAGGCTATATGCAAATATTACACCATTTTACAGAAGGAATTTGAGCATCTGCAGATTTTTTGGTCCTGGAACCAATCCCCTCTGGATAATAAGGGATTACTAACTATATCATGTACTGGATAAGGAAAGAAGAAAATAAAAAAAAATTAAACTATACAGATTATTCTAAGCAAGCTAGTCACAGCATGAAAATTTAGTGTCCCAGCAATCTCCTAAGAGTCAGACAGTTCCCTCACAGCCATTTCCAAGCAAGAAGAAGCAACAAAAATTCAATGCATGCCTCATTTGCAAGACTGGGGAAAGTTTACTGACTCCATTACAACCACATACACAGAATTATTAAAATGCAAATATATGTATTTCTAACCAGAACTACTGGCATAGAAATAAATCTCTTAGTATTTCCCATATAAAAATCTTAGGAAGATTACCCGTTTGTTATACTAAATTTTATAATAGAAGAACTTCAGGAAAAAAACAAAGAATCCCTTAGAATAAAATCTAACATGCCTATGAGTTCAAATATCAAGAGTTCAGTTTTAATATTTTGAAAGAAATATGCATTTCTGGTAAAACAAAAAAATAGGCTAATCATGAATATTATCTTATTTAGAATGATTAACACTCAACTTAATGTGCTATACAGAAACACAAGCTCACTTTTAATGTCATACAGGAGCACTAATAAACATCTAACACGAGTCACACATGCAAGACACATACTTTAAAATTTTCTAGTAACTATATTTTATAAAAAGAAAAGGAAACATAAAATTATAACAAGATATTTTACATTTCCATACTGTTTTTAAAACCCAATGTTTATTTTATACTTAAAGATGATCTCAATTTGAATTAACCACATTGCAAGTGTACCAGATGGCACTGTTATTCAGAACAGACCTTTTTTTTTTTTTAACTAAAAAGATTTTGGCAGTTATAGGTTCAGGGCAAAGAAAATAGCAGAGGGAGGATTGAACATATTTACAGGTTAAAAGAAAAGAGAAACAACAAATATTCTAATGATAATTAACGGAGAGCAGATGAAAGAATAGGATCAAAAGCACAAGGGGAATGACTTACTTGTAGAAGAGAAGGACCATACCTTCCTTTGTGACAGGTGGACAAGGGACGAATTAAACATAGGTATAAACGAGTATGGTGAATGTGAGGGGCAAAAGAACAGAAAATGAGGGAGTTTTCTTTAAGAGCTCCCATTTTTCCCAGTGAAGCAAAAACAATCTTATCAGGCTCCTTCCAATATAAATCTAAAGGGACTACATTTATGAAAAAAATGGAGAAACAGTTATCCTAATATGACATATTAAACTGTGCTTTTGCATTGTTAGTTATTTTCTAGTTTTCTTCTAGTCAATCTTGAATTTTGTCACTTTATGTCTAAACCCAGAAATAACAGAGTTCATTCTTTTATTCACATGTTCATCATTTATTCAGCAAACACATACTCAATGCCTATAGTACAGCAAATGTAAGGTACTAAGCAGAGTAAGGTCCTCACTGATTTCCATGTGTACCTCCAGTGTTTAGCGCATTAGACTACCTACACACACTAAGTATTATGAATACACAGTATTATACTCCCCTATAAAGAAATATTATGTGTCAACTAAAATAAATGTTGACAAAAACCTTCATTTAAAAGTCTACATCAGAGCTTCCCAATAGAATTTTCTGATAATGAAAATATTCTGCTCTGAACTGACTGATATAGTGGCCAATAGTTACATGAATTCACATCTTAATTTTAATATCCACATGTGGTCAATAGCTACCATACATCTCTAAATAGTAGAATTCAGTGGGTAGCTAATGGTATTGCCATTATTATAATCAAGGTCCTGTCAACTGTAAGAGGAGTTATACACTATGCTACTGAAAATGTGTATACTATATGAATAATATAAACTTTACCAGAAAGACACAGTGAGAAAATTTTTTAGCCTAAAATAATTTGAATATTGTGAACCCAAAAGAGAGAACAAATGAGAAAGAAAAAAGAATTTTTAAAAAAAGTCTTTTCCTTCTCTACTTTCCCAAGGAAAATACTAACTTTATATCAACCTTTGATTTTTCCATGATGTCAAACATTAAAAATATTTTGTATTTAGAAGTAACTGGAGCATAGGAGTTGTTTCTGTAATTTTTTTTAAGTGAGACAGTATAAGTAGCTGAAAATCAGGATTCATATAATGAATAAAGTGTGCTTATAACTCCTTGTGATTTTTAATTTCCCCAAATTTGTTTCATTTTTTAAACTTTAAAATAAACCTAACGCTAAAGTACATGGTGACTCAACCCATTGAGCTAATGGAAGTATAACCTAGACTTTGAATTGAACAATTCTTGCTTGATGTAGTAACTAATTCTAGTTATTACTGAATAGCTAGAATAGCTGTTTGTGACTGGGATAGTAAAATATACTTTCATTACTCTGTGTATTCACTGCCTTGAATGTATAATTTAAGTGACTACACAAACTTAATCACAGATACAAAGCCCAACACTGGCACAGGTCTGATTACATACTTAGAAGATCTGATAACTTTAAAGTAAAACCAGTAAGGTGAGCAACTAAATGTCAGTGATAGCATTTTTTTTTTTTTAAATGCACAGCAACTTGTTCAACTTGTTAACCATTCCAGTAAGACAGCTGCCTTATAAATTAACCACAGAACTTCTGATTCTTCCTTTTACTTGTTTTCATTTGAAGCCATTTTTTTCCCAAATGTTACCAGATTTTCTATCTTAAAGATGAGCATGGTTATAAAACCAGGATTATTTTCAGGCTAACAAAAATTCCTAACGCTGAAAAATCTACTAGTAAAAGCATTAAGAGAATCACTTTAGAACAATCTTCCTGCCATACAAACCCATCATCAGGTAAATGATTTTAAATCAAACCTCATATACATGAACACTTGGCAAATCAAAAGCAAGAGATCACATCAGTAATAATTAACTACTAGAGTCAAATTACTGTGCTACAGCTTACTGCAACAAAGGCAAAGAATTATAGCAATATGCTATTATAATGACATCATTAGGTTAGTTTCCTAATAAAGCATATCATCTGGAGTACCTGAATTTATAGCTCGCTAAAAATAAAGAGCCAACATTTATATGAGGGAGTGAGTGGCGGCAGTTCTTAGTTTTATTTATAAGCTTTTTTTTTTTTTTTTTTTTTTGAGAATGATACCCACTGAAAATGATGTAACAGAAGGTTGACTAAAAAACATCATACTTAGTCTTAACATAAAAATGTTGTTCTAGAACAGGGAAAACGATATGTTTTAGTCCCACAAAAACAGTTTCTGCTTCATTAAGGTTTACCACTGCCTTTAAAACTAGTAAACAAAAACAATGAAATGTAGAAGCATTTAATCAGTGAGATTTAGAATAAACAGTAGCAAGCCTCATCACACAGATAAGGTATTAAGTATTAAGATTCTTCAGCCTGAAGTAATTTCTGTCCTAATTGTCACCGTTGCCTTAGTAGGGTATTTTTTGGACTGCAGTTGCCAGAAGACAGGAAAGATTTTTCTCTCTGAATAAATTCTGGGAAAGGTGGTGCTTTTTAGATGCCTAAAGTCACCCTTTCCTAAGATTTCTTTCTTTCTTTTTTCTTTTCCTCCAGATGCTCTAGTAATACTGAAAGTTAAATACCCCTTTCGTTCAAACAGCCCCTTAAGTACAATCGGATTAAAAAAAAAAAAAAAAAGGTATGGTTTAAAAGTTTCGCTTGGGGTGGGGGGAGGACAAGGTAGGACGGAAACTAGTTCTTCATAACTACTGTACATCTTTCTCGAAACCAGATGGGGAATTGGAATACTCTTTCCTTCATTTAGGCCTTGGGTAAAAATTTCTTTCGTCCAGAGGTAGGAGATAAGGTATCCTCCTCCTTGTCAATCAACGCAACAGTAAATAAATCTTGACCCCCGGTGCCAAGCGGGGGCTGAAGGCAAGTCCTTCCCGGCTCTTCACCCAAACCTGTTCTAAATTGCTACAGGCAAGACACCCAAGCCCCTTTCCTCTCCCCAAGACCACCTCGCGTCCGGCGCCCTAGCAGTCTCCCCAGGGGGCACCCCCACTCCGCTGGAGACCCTCATCTTCTGACCGCGATGGCTCAGGAGCCGAGCGAAGGAGGAAGTATCGGAGAAGCGCCGGCAGGAAGCGGCTGCCTCCCTCCGCGCAGCGCCAGCCTCTGCGGCCCGGGCAGCGCGGGGCTTCTCCGGGCCGGGCCCCGCGCCCGCCTCCGCCGCGGCCTATCTCCGCGCAGCGGGCCCAGTCCCGCCACCCGGGGCCGAGAGGCCACGCGTGGGCGGGCGCCCGAGGGGCGGGGGACACCTACCAGCTGCTGCCGGACCCAGCGCCACATGCCCTCGCCGACGCCGTCGCGGCCCCGCGGGGCGCTGGGGCCCAGGGGCTGCAGGTGGAGGCCGACTAGCCAGAGGGGGAGCAAATGAGCCCCTCGGGCTGAAGTTCCGCTCGCCGCAGCCACCTCACTCCTCGCGCCGGGTCCCCATCCCGCAGCGCCGGCCCGGAGCTCCTACAGGCGCGGCCCCGGCGCCGCCCCCGCCCGGCTCTGCTGAGCCAGCCACCTCGCCGCAGCCACCTTCATTATTGACCGTTGTCACCCGAAGCACCCCCACAACCCCACCCCCGCCCTGCCCGGCCCTCCGGCCCCGCCCGGCCCCGCCCCCGGCGCTCCGGCCCGCCCCCGGACGTGACGAAAGGGGGTGCGCGGAGCACTAGGGGCCGGCTGCTCCCCGCCACGGCTCGGAGCTGGGGGTCGGCAGTGCGGGCGGGGGCGAACGCGATCGCGGAGGGGAACGGGGCTCTCCGCGCCGAGTATGCGTCCTGCGGCGGTCTGCTTTTCTCGGGCTCGGGTTAAATCGCTCTGTAAGTCTGTCTTGAGTCCGCAGCTAGTGGCCCACTCCGCTGTCTCTTCCTCCTGTTGCAGGTCTGTTTCTGGCTCTCTGCCCTCTTGGGTCCACGCGTCCGCCAGCACACACGCGCAATCTGGAGTGTACGTGACTGAAGGTTAATCAAGGTTAATCATCAGAGGTTCCTGTTGTGGTTCGATTAAATTGTCCAAGGCTCTGCCAACACAACTCTTCCCTCTTTAGCAAATAACTGAGATGGGACTAGTGGGTTTAAAAGGGTTGCAGTTCCCCAGTGCCTGGTCCAGGCGGCATCAGTGTGTATGGGAGAATGGGCGAGATATTCCGAGGTGCTAAATGGGACAGGTTAGGAGAAAAATGATTTCAATGGAGAAGTAGTTTGCTTTTGACCGCCAAAACTCTGCAGTCAGAAACACCCCAGAAGTATCTTGACTTACTAGGTAAATCTAAGTGTGTGGATGACAAAGTAAGATATATAAAAGCAGCTTGAACAAGGCTTTCACTTTGAAGGTCTGACTTTATTCGAAAGCAGCCCCATGTACCTCTTGTGTTATGCGTCTGTATGCTGTATTCTTACTGATTGAAAATACACTTCACCAACAGATGGTCGTTTATGGTTTGAAAAAAAAATCAAGCAAAAACAAATCTAAATCTAGATTAGCATGACTAGGCAAGCCATTGCATATGTATACTCATTTTTTTAGTTTCAGTAGGCAATCCTTATTATATAATGCTTATTCAGCTCTACAAATAGAAGCTTCATTGCAGGATATTTATGGTCTATGCAACTAGCAGTGGAATTCTGTATTATAAATCATTCAATTTCAAAAAATAGCAAGATATTTAAAGAGAAAAAGTAATGTTACTCTTGTTCTTAGGACTGAACCTACTTTATTACCCTAAAATGAAGTTCCAGGTGTATTTATTTGTTATGTATAAAACATTACTGCCATTCACAGAGTACTGTATTCCAGGACCTTTATCAAGCTCTATGTGCATGCTCTAATTTGAACCCCACCAATCCTTTGAAGTAAGTGTTATACCAATAGTGTGGATGCAGAAATGAAGACTCAGGTTAAGTAACTTGGCGAAGCAGATTCTGGATTGTCAGGCAACAGAGTGCATCCTCAGAGATGACCATCCTACTTGTATTCATTTGTAAGTGGTTTGATTATATTAGGCCTGGAAACTTTTATTTATATGCCACTAAAAATAGTCAGGATAAGAAACAGCCCTCCAGAGGACATTTTATGTATCATTGTTTGTGTCCCAAATTTTGAGAGATAGCAGTTGGGGTGTATGGGGAGATGATTCTAAGTGCTATGGTGGAAGGTGGTAGAAAGTGACCTCAAGATAATTATGTAAAGAGCCAGGCACAGTGCAACATGCCTGAAATCCTAGTAACTCAGGAGGCTGAGGCAGTAGGATTGCAAGACCAAAGCTAGCCTCAGCAATTTAGTGAGGGCTCAAATAACTTAGTGAGACCCTGTCTCAAAATAAAGTATAAAAATGCGTTGGGGAGATGGCTCAGTGATTAGACCCCCCTGGGTTCAATCCCTTATATCAAATAATAATAATAATGTAAAGATCATGACTGAAGCTCAACTATAAGGAACAGAATGAGTAGTCCAAGCAGTATTTCTTTCTAAGCATTTCTTTAAAGACGAGTTGGATATCTATTATTAATCAGGACCATAATAAAATAGCAGAGTATTTATGTTATAGTTATAACCCCTTAGTGATTGTGAAATTCATTTAGTGTGTCATGATGGGTGTTTTAAAAAATAAAACATTAGAAAACATCAGAATACATTGCCCAATGTAAGTAATGTGTATTGTTTTGTGAAATTTTGGTTTTATTTATGTGTGTATGTGTATGGATGCACAAGTATCCATTGTCAAGTCACAATATAAAAGGAATTTCTTTGGTTGCTATTGGAAAAGCTCGAAATACATTGTGATAGGAAAATACAGAACTTAAGAAGCCAGATGCCAGCTGTAAAAGAAAGAAAAAAATGTGTTTGGAGTCAGTGATAACTCATTTATTCCACAATAATTTCTTACATGTTTTGAGCATCAAATGTATTTATAACAACTGCCTAAAACTGGAAGGGGACAAATTAGGCCCTTTGCTCTGGGTGCAGTTTATAATCTAGTAGGAAAGAGAATTTGGAATGGGGAATCATTTAACAATTCAAGATAGAAAGGGATTAAGGCCTAAAAATTTATATTTTTAGGCCTTAATTTATATCAATTTTCTGAAATTAGTGATTATTATATTGATAATCACTAATTTTAGAAAAATGATATGGACAATACAATTGGAGAAGGCTTCAGAAGAAAAGAGACTGAGTTTATTATTTATGTATTTTTGTGGTCTTGGGGAGCAAAACTAGGCAGACACTCAGCCACTGAGCTGCATCCCCAGCCACAGAGCTGAACTTTTGAAATAGGAGGATGGAGGAGAGAGAGAGGCTTTCTCACTAGAAGAACTATAGGAGCAAATACTTGAGTCAGGATGCAGATGTTTGAGGTAGAATAACTAATTTGGAATAGTAAGAAGTGGGGCTGGATAAGTAGGGAGAGGCACAATAGGGACAGAATTTCTGGCTAGTGATAAGAGTATAGGAAATTGGCAGTTCCTGGAGTTTTCTAACCAGAAAAATGGTAGAAATACTCATCAGAGTATTGATGCTTTGAGATAGGATGAGGGGAAAAACAGAAACAAAAATGGTCAGGTAGGAAACTTGCTAGAGTGAAGAATTGAGTTGAAAAATGCTGAACTGGCAAAGGGCCAGAAGTAAAGCATTTTATAGGAAATGATGCCATGGTGTCAAGGAAACCTGAAACTTAAAAGCCATTCCAAGTGAGGTGACAGACACTCAAAGACAATAATTTACCAATGTTGTGTGACAGCCACTGAATTAATGGCAAATATGATTCATTCTGTAGAGTAAACTTGTTAATATAATTCTGTGCTAGTTTTGCTTGTGAGACACGTTCCTTCCCGGGGAAAAAAACTGTCTCCTAGCTTGGTGTAATAGACATTCGCAGGTATAACAGACAAAACAAAGAGACATTTTTCTTGATCAGAATTTCTTGAACCACTAATGGAAAATGCATACTGTGAGTTTATCGAAGACAGGATTTTTGGCTCATTAATTTTGATACTCATGGTGTCTAAAGTGTTTGTTAAATGAATTAAGGCCAATGACTGAGTAGTTAGAGAAAAATATCTAGGCCCAGAATACCAAGGCAATATAGAGCAAAGCATCCTGAATGATTGTATTAGATCCCAAACTATGTAATAGGACCAGTGGTCTCCATCCTCAAGTCAAGGGCACTCAGTGTCAATCTGCATGGAGGACCCTGAGCCTTGCTAGTTTGTTGCCTTAATTACTTCTAAAGCAGGGGAGCTATCAGATGGGTCCCCAAATCTGCTTTATCTCATTTTTTTAAAAATAGCTACTTTCTACTTCTTCAAAATCATAAATCTAATAGTAAATCTGTTCCACTTAAAAAGCATCCCAGGAGTTCCATACCAGATCAGTCTTCAGGCAAAGGAAAATAAATAAATAAATAAATAAACTTCTAGAACTAAACATCATCATATATTTTAGTATCTCTTATGAAGAATTGCATTAGGACAAAATCATGTTACATATTTGCATAGTTCCCTGAAAATTCCTTAAACAGATATCAGTTATGTGCTAAGTTACATGAACTCAGTTACTTACACAGAACTGAAAAGCAAAACCACTGTGAGAGTTAGAATCCATAAAAATGATCTCTTTCTTGAAAGATGAAAAAGTATATAAAACATAAATATGTTCTGCACCTCCCTTGTTTCTGATTTTTTTAAGGTGCCCTTTAATAACTTGATATTTCCTTTGGATGTGCAATCTGTGGCATTCCATCAAATCGAAAATGCATGAATTTAGTTATATGTATTTTTGACATTGAGAGAAAAAGCTTAAATAGACAGATGGCCTGGATTGACAGAAATATTGATGACTTCAGGTGGGCTATAACAAAACTGAAATGGTTAACTCATATTGTTAGAAACTATGATGTAGTTGGGCATAGTGCCTCATACCTGTAATCCCAGTGACTTGGGAACTCTAGACAGAATTGAAATTTCAAGGCCAGCCTCGTGAACTTAGTAAGACCCTAAGCAATTTAGTGAGACCTTGCCCCAAAATAAAAAATAAAAAGCACTGGGGGTGTAGCTCAGTGATAAAGGACCCTTTTGTACAATCCCCAGAACCATAAAACAGAACTACTATGTTTTGGCAGTCTCCAATACTTACCCAACTTTGAGTTACTTATGCTACATAATAGAGCAAATTATTTAGCCATCTAGAAGCATTAGTTTTGTAATACTTTGTCTTAAAGCCATCAATAGAAGCTTTCATGCTCAAAGTTAGATATTCTGAGGGTATTTTTTTTTTGATGATTAAAATAACTGCATTAGGTAGGTGTTTGTTAACAGTTGTGTCATAGCTTTTCTAGGCAAAAACATTCTTAGTTGTGTTCACTGGCAAAACCTTGGAGGTCACATTGCCCTTATCTGTATTAGAATGGATCCAAGATTGTTTTCTGAGGAAAATCTTGGCCTAGCCCACAAATATTTTGTCTATTTCCTTAACTTTTATAAAACATTAACCCTAGTTCTGATGGCTGCTTGTGCAAATTTTTGAAATAATAGCTCTAGGTTGCTACCACCACTCTCTGCTTTCTAGGCATGATCAGACATGCTCAGTTGTGAGAAGTCATATTTATGCAGAATTTCCTGAAAACTATGCACTCTTTGAAGCCATCTAAATTTTATTTTCAGATTTAAGAAAAACCCTTAGAACTCTCTCTTTGGCTAGTCTTCTTTTGGCTCCCCCTAATATTACTTTTACTGGACTGCAGTCCAGGATCACTCAAACATTCTAAGTTCAGTGACTGCAGAAGTGGCTGCGGGACCCCCACAACAGTTTTACAGCTGAGACAACTGCTCACTCATCACACTGTGTTCTTGCACTGAGCACTTGCAGAAATTCAGTACCACAAAAAACTGTGCTTCCCTTGAGCAACTAGTTTGTTTTCTAATCTAATAGGCATTTTGAATTATGTAATTGAATGCAGGCTTCCTGTCGTTGTGTTGCTTGTTTAAAAATTCAGAAACTTACTGCACATTTTGTGAATTACTTTTATCTCAGTTTATTATTTTTTTCTACTCTTAGTTTCCCTTTAGCTGGTTACTCCACTGCTTTTATATCTTGTACTGTATATATTTCAATCTTTGGACTAGAAGAAATAGAAGAAAATATAAGACTAAATCAGTCATGATTACAAATCATAAAGATTAATTTTTGAAATAAAGTAAGAGTGGGCCCTTGACAATCTGAGGGAGGTTTTTTTTTCTTACCATTTAAAAAAATTATATATGACAGCAGAATGCATTACAATTGTTATTACACATATAGAGCACAATTTTTCATATTTCTGGTTGTAATCAAAGTATATTCACGGCAATTCATGTCTTCATACCTGTACTTTGGATAATAATGATTATTACATTCCACCATCACTAGTAACCCCATGCCCCCTTCCTTCCCCTCCAACCCATCTGCCCTATCTAGAGTTTGTCTATTCCTCTGAGGGAGGTTATTTGATTTCCTTTTCCTTCACCACAATTGCACCCCACACTTTCACTATTTAAAGTGACTCTAAATGTTAATTTTATGAGCAGGAGACTGATAGAAGAAAATAAAATGACTAAAGACTGCAGCCAAGTAAAGACTGCTGAGTTACAGAGAAATAAAGGATTGTATTTCTTTGGGTTGCAAGAAGTAGAATGTGTTAAAAGTTAGGAATCGAGGGGTACTAGTTCTAAGAAACTTCTGACTGGGAAGCAGGAAGAATAGGGCTACTTGTTCAGGGGCTAGACTGAATATTTGACTTTGGTAATAGCTTACCACTGTTGTAGGGACAAACGAGGCAAGGCACCGAAGATAGCAGGAAACAGTTTTTATTTGGCTGCAGCCTGGTTCAGAAGGCATGGCTTTTTCTGGAATCAATTAATCCCCTGAACCTCAAGTTCAGGTAGTTCCAGAGTTTTATACCCAGCATGTAAGGGGAGGGGCTCAGAAGTTCACAGTCTGCAAAAGTTCACATAAAAGCAGCTTTTTCTTTCACTGTTCTGGACAGTGAAAGAAAAAGCTGCTTTTATGTGAACTTCAAGGACAACACCCTTCAAGGACAATACCTGAGAAGGGGAGAGCTTCTTCTCCCCTTTCTATTCTCCCCCTGCTAGCTGTTACCATGGAGCCCAGTTGATAACTTTCTTATCTTAAAAATGTAGACATCTTGGCTGGGGATGTGGCTCAAGCGGTAGCGCGCTCGCCTGGCATGTGTGCAGCCCGGGTTCGATCCTCAGCACCACATACAAACAAAAATGTTGTGTCCGCTGAAAACTAAAAAAAAAATAAATATTAAAATTCTCTCTCTCTCTCTCTCTCTCTCTCTCTCTCTCTCACACTCTGTCTTAAAAAAAAAAAATGTAGACATCTCTGTGAAGCCCAGTTCAAGTCCAGAGACCTTGTTTGCACATTTCTTCAAAGTGCTATACTGGATATGTTTGTGAAAAACTAGTAAGGGGGTGTCCAGCACCTGGAGTGCTGGTATCTTCTCGGCCTGTGGCCAAGTAAACAGGACGGCACAAAAATAGGAAGTTTATCTACATTGAACTCTTTTGCAGAAACTCTTTTGCTGACACTTCTAAAATCAGACAAGGTGAAGATTTCTGGAGAAGCCCAGTAAAGACTTTTCAGTGGAGAAAGTGGGTGCCACTTCACCACTACAAAGGACATGGGGAGTGTCATGATAATAACTACAAAAGGGTGGCAGAGAGCACTGTGAGAGTGTACTGGGGCAGAGTTTTGAGTGACTCCAGATAACATGTAAGAAAGCATACTGTTTCCTTGGTGCTCAGGAAGGTTGAGAACAAGAGATTTGAGATAGACCAAGGATAGTAGCTGGAATGGTTTGTGATTAGGTGAGATAGGATACTTGGGCAGAAAGAGAATGCAACCAGGAGGAGAAGCCTTATTTCTCTAGGAATTAGGGGAGAGAAAGATTGGACAGAAGAGAGCTGAGATCTGGCAGTGGGCCTGAGGACCCAGAGCAGAAGAAACCCTCGGGAACACTTGGCACTTAACTAGGTCCCAGCACATTAGTATGTATTTGAAACTTTGTCACAATGATAAAGCTGAATCAGACTGAACCTGTGTCTATGCTGTTGTGACCACCTGCTAGTGGTTTTTCTCTTGACATGGCCCCACAGCTTTTCCTTGAGCTGGAGGGATCTGCCTTTGGAAGTAATTCCCTGTGGAGGAGAAAAAAAGAGATGAATGGCCACACCATATAATCAAACCATAATACTTCTTTTTGTGTGTTGCACATACTGTTTGCCAGGAAATCTCTTATATTCTTCTTTACCTTCTTCATCATCTAAATCTTAGCTTTAAAGCTATCCCTTTAGAGGTTAGGTCTCCTTACAGAGCTAAAACATTCATAATCATTAAATACCTAAAGGATTCTGGTGGCTGTGCTTCTGTCTGCCAACCAAATAAAAATAAAAGCATGAAACAAATAAACATTTATCTATTTTTTTGAGATAGCATACAACAAAATGTATATGTATCTTGAATAACTTCTTCCTAGATTTTCTTCAACTCTGTGATCTCATTCTGTCTCCTCACACATGCTGTCCTGTGCTCACTCTTTCTCTGCCTCTTTCTGAGTCTTGCTTTGCTGGTGCCCCAGGCAAGTGCTGAATTTTCCAACCAGGTCATTCTGTACTTTCCCCCATTAAACATTCCCACAGTGCCCTGTACTACAAGTACTTTGCACATTGGTAATCATGACACTGTTTACTGTGGTCTCTCTTTAATGTCTGTCTTTCCCAAGAGACTCTTCCATACGGCAGGGACTTTTCATCAGTTTGTAAAGTTCATGAAGAGCACAAATATGTGTTTGCTTGACTTGGTATCCTATAAAAAGTAAACAACTTTTAAGTGACCAGAGGAGAAATCAAGGAATCTTCTAGAACGATAAACTGGATTTTTATGAATATAGGGGATAAAAGAAGATGAAAACAATGAGGTGAGAAGACCAAATGAAATGAGGTGTTTTCCTGTGCAAGATTAATTCAAAGTCTTTACACTCTACTTAATATTGTATTTCTGGTGAGGTAAATTAGTTTCCTCTAGATAATTTATATTAAAATACAATGTAGATCTGTATATATTTATTATTAGAGTTAATAAATAATGTAGTAATATATTTACTATTGACAGTTTTATAAGATCCATTCATAAAATCATAGTAAACCTTTTCCTAGTCTGGTGTCCAGAATATTAGACTGTAGTCCTCCTTTATACCGTCAGCCCTTCTGCCACATTTATTCAACAAATATTTGCTGAACATTTAGCACATGTCAGTCATTGTGCCTGGTACCCAGGTGAATAGTCCCATAGGCCTTGCCCTCAAGAAATTGACAGTTCAAGATCAGTGGGTACTAAGTTACAGTAAGGAGCAACAAATTCTGGGGTGCTATTGCCTGGTAGGAGGAATATAGTTAATAATTATGTACCATACATTTCAAAAAGCTAAAAGAAAAGATTTTAAATGTTTAAAATGTTCACTATAAAGAAATGATGTGAGGAAATAGATATGTCTAACCTGATTTAAACATTACACTATGTATGTACATGTACTGAAACATTATATGATATTCCATTCATATCTATAACTTTTATTTTTATGTGCCAGTTTAAAATATATTAAAAAAAGAAGTAGCTTATAGTTCCAGATCAAAGGTACTACCCCAGAGTACAATAAAAATATAGACAAAAGTATTCAGAAGGACTGTATTTGAACTATGTAGGAAAGTACAGTTTTTATAGAATAAAGAAAGTCTGTAAGATAAAGTTTAGATATTCTTAGTTCTGACACCTTCACCTTAAGATGTATTTGTTTCCTGACCAGGTCCTCAAATATTCACCTAAGACATGGTAACTTTGGGGGATGGAATAATGCTTCTTGCTAATCAGCATAGACAACACCCAGTGATCTTGCATGAAGAAACATCCTGTTGTGAAAAGGTGATTACTCATTGTATCCACAAAACAGGAGTGTGATGTCTCTGTGAATGTATGTGTGCATACATTTATGCCCGTGAATGTGTGTGCTTGTGTCAAGAGGAAGTGATGTGTGCATGTTTTATTACTTAGCACACTTGGATTTTTTTATTCAGAGATATTAATAAAGGTAAAGTTGAAGGCTTAACCCCAAGACGTGATTGTTAGTTTTGCACAGAGGAAAATCTCTGTCTCATGACTGTAGATTGCACTTCTAGTCCTCAAATGCAATGAGAGAACATCTAACTTAGTGGAATCACTAGCATGACCAGAAAGTCAACTCACTCATATTATGATGGCTAAGGATGATCATTATAAGAAGAAAAAGTTACTGTTAGATACAGTATTGTGAAAAAAGGATGAAAAATCCTCAATCATATTAAGAAAGCTGAACAATTTTACAGACTTACACACAGATACTTTTTTCTCAGTACTATTTTATGTTTTTTTAAATCTATGTACCTGTACAGAAAAATGCAAACATCATTTAGCCTTGAACAATTCAATAATGTGTATGAAAGCTAATTAATAGGATTTAGTTCCACTGGGTGTGAGGTTGCATTAGGATTCCAAATGACATTTTACTTTTACTTTATTGGGTTGTTTTAATATGTCAAATGAGAAGATGCAAGTTTCCTTACTAATTAATTAACTAATTAGTACTTTGGGAAACATGCCAGTTTTTATGTTGCCGCCATCATTTTTATTTTTAGCTCCATCTGTTTTGTTTTATCAAGTTGCTGTTTAAACTCTGGTACAATACTTAGTTTGTAGCTTCAATACTGTCCCTACTAACTTCCTGTGTTAGTTAGGTTTTCATTGGTGTGACCAAAATACCAGACCAGAACAACTTAGAAGAGGAAACATTTATTTTGAGTTAACAGTTTCAGAGGTTCAGTCCATGGTCGGCCAGCTCCATTGCTCTGGGCCCAAGATGAAATAGAACATCATAGCAGAAGCACACAGCAAAGGAAAGCTGCTGGCCTCATTGTAGCTAGACAGGAAAAAGAAAGAGAGAGAGAGAAGGGGAGATGGAGAGAGAGAGGAGCCAGAGGAACAAGATATAATCACCAATCGAACACCCACAGTGACCTACTTTGTCCAGCCATGCCCCACCTGCCAACATTTACTACCCAGTAATCCATTCAGCGTTAACCCATCAAATGAATTAATCTACTGATTAGATCACAGCTCTCACAATCTAATCATTTTGCCTGTTAACAAGCATACATTGTCTCCTCTGCTTTTGGGGGACACCATATAATCAAACCATAATACTTCCCTAAAATGAATACTTCATTACTAGCCCCTAAGCCTGCTCTTTGCTCCTCAATATCCTATACCAGAAAGAATCTCTTTTTATTTAAGGCTAGTTCATGGTCACATCAGAATCTCAGAGTCTTTACAGTTCTCATGGATTTTTTTAGAACGTATGGATGGAATCTGTCTCCAGTTGAAACCTGGAGATTTCCTCTTGGATTTCCCTCCCTTTTCTTGCCCTTTCCTGGGAACTGAGTTCCCAACCTCTCCCTGCCCTTTGAATCAAAGACCAGAGGTGCACCACTGACAGAAAGTACTTGTATTCTTCAAAGGAGAGCATTTGTTGCTGTCAGTCACCTATTGTAAAATAACTCTGATGAGTATTATTAATTTTTATGTTGATCCTATTTTATTTAATATTATTATTATTAATAATAATTAATGATATCATCCTCTATATAGAAGGTGAGTAAATAAATTACAGTCTGCTCTTTAATCCCTTTTTTCCTCATCTGACTCAAATTTATGTTGATTAAAGGTTAGAATAAAAGTATGCTTAATTGGGCTGGGGTTGTGGCTCAGTGATAGAGTGCCTGCCTAGCACATGTGAGGTACATTTAGTGGTTTAGTGGCTTAGTGGTTTGGAAAGCGCTTAAGAAGAAAATACTGTTGATTTTAGTTGTCAGTAAACTTATTGTTTCACTTCATCTCAGCCACATTGAAAAACTAAATAAAGGTATTGGGTCCATCTACAACTAAAAATATTTTTTGAAGTAAGCTTGATTAAATTGTGCTATTTACCGAATGCTACAGTTTATGATGTAATAATCAAACACTATACATTCTTATGGCTAATATAGAAATTTTTATAACAAATTATTGTATATAATAATAAATAAATTTATAACAATAAATGGGGAACATCCTAGAAGGTATGCTAATCTATTACCAGAAAGAATCTCTTCTTATTTAAGACCAGTTCATAGTCACATCAGAGTCTCAGAGTCTTTACAGTTCTCTGTAAAATAATTGTGGAATAAGGAATAAAAGACATCTTTTGAGAATATACAGTGTGAGGATCTCAAAGTTTGTATTCTTTATGTCTCTCTCCATAAAATATCATCTTTGTGGATGAGAGCAGATCCTTAATATCTTGTCCTTAGCTGTCTTTTCTCTCTGTATCCCCAGTTGGTTTCAACCTTTCTCCCCTGCAAGCAATTGTCTTTATTTCATCATTCAGACTGAGTCTTTTGAAAGCTCATAAATCAACAGAAGCCAGAAAATTACAAATGCACACTGTATGTTTAATAATAGTGCACAATCTGATTACTGTAAGTACAATTTTAAATTTTTTCTGTTCAAACAGTTTATGTGAATAGCAACTTCTATTTTCTTAGACTTACTTGAGTGGAAAAAAATCCCTTTGAAGCTACAACAGAACTTGTGGTACAATATTGATTAATTGGTAATGCAAATTAGCTTGTGCCTACCATCAGAACGTGGAAAAATATATTTGAGTCTGAAAGTAAGACCCTCAGTTCTGTCTGTGCACTTCCTTAGTTGGTTGAAACTCTCAAATATACCTCCCTTTTAACAGCGGTAAAGGTTGTTTTACCTTATGGAATAAAAAAAAAAAAAGATAAGTTGACCTTTTCCATTTTATCTGAAAGAAAGTGCTTAAGAAGAAAATACTGTTGATTTTAGTTGTCAGTAAACTTATTGTTTCACTTCATCTCAGCAACATTTTCCAAACCACTAAACCACTAAATGTTCACTGGAGACTTTCAGGTCATGGCAAGATGACATAGTAATTTGGTGCTTAATTGATTTAATATTGAGTGCCAAGAAACAATTGAGGCTCAACCCACAAACCCCAAATCCATTACATTATCCTATTTTGAATGTTTAAAAAAATAAGTAGAAGATTTTAAAATAGCCACTTCATTTTAGGCTCTATAATGATAGTATGTGAAATTATTAAGTTGTATAGTATTACAGAGCTTTCAGAAGACTCAGATTTGAGCTGATGTATTTCATAAGGAAAAATTCTTATTTGCTTGCTAATTTACCTGAAGATATTCATCTCTAATGTGTACTCCCAGAAATGTAAAAATGTTCCATCGCATTTCAAATTATCAGTAGCAGTTAATTAAGGTTCAAATTGCTTTGAGGATGCTAAAATTGATTTTATCATTTTTGTCAATTTCTTTTTATTGTGCCATTCCTGGGTTTATGCCAATAATTTGTCAGATGCAATTACATTTGTGAATTTAATTTTCTTTTGCACTGTATGGCAAACTAGGTATATTCCCATATTACTAGGTGTTTTATAGGAGTTACTCTTGATTTTCCTTAAAATTATTTACTGGTTTTTCATATTATTTCCCATGATGTCATTTACTCTCATAATATGAATGTGGCAATCATTTTAGTAGTTAGAAAAGCTATAACAATGCAAATATGTACTTGGCCTTCATTGGTCTTTAATCCACTACTGCCAATTTAATCTACATACCAGACATTAAATAACAACAGAATTAATAACAATAATACCTACTATTTATTGAACACTTACTAGGCCCTAATCCCTGAACTTAATACATTGTCTTAATTAACCTTCTTTGTAACCTGAGGATGGCACAGTTTCTATCTACCATATGGCCAAAGTGGTTGTTAAAACACTGAAGTACTTTTATTGTGGTAGTGAAGAGCTGATGTCCCAAGCTCCCCAAGTGTCCTTTGTACCTTTTTTCTCCAATTTCCCATCTTTTCTCCTGGGGATCTCTCCATCTTGTCCTCCCCAAATCCTGAAACTAGAGGATTAACAATGGCATGGCAGAGACCCTCTGTGACCTCTGCTCTAGCAGCCAGACTTCGTTCTGATGTGTTGGTACCCAAGCTGTTCCAGTAGTTAAATATTGTGGTTATTAGCAAAGATGTAGATACTATCATTACTGTTCTGCAGGAGGGAAAACTCATATAAATATGTAAAAGTTCATCAGTTTGCCCAAGATTGCCCACCTAGAAAGTGTCAGATCCAGGACTCAAACCTAGGTCTCTCTCAAGTTAAAATCCTTGCTCTTTTTTTGGGGGGTGGGGGTGGAGAAGTACCAGGAATTGAACTCAGAGGTACTCAACCCTGAGCCACATCCCCAGCCCTATTTTGGATTTTATTTAGAGATAGGGTCTCACTGAGTTGCTTAGCATCTCCCTTTTGCTGAAACTGCTTTGAACTTGTGATCCTCCTGTCTCAGCCTCCCAAGCTGTTGGGATTACAGGCATAAACCACATCGCCTGGCAAAATCCTTGCTCTTAACTAGTATAGTGGACTAAAAAATAGAGAAAACCAGCCGGTGATTAGTGTTGACTTCCCAGGCCCCAACATGGATAGCTATCTACTCTGACTACTTGTACAATGAATTTTAAATTTAATTATGTTTTTCATTAGGTTCTCAGCCATAATAATGAGCATGCAAGTACTAGGTTGATAATGGATACTTTGCATTATTCCACCAGCATCCTGTATTTACTAATTTAGCCCATGTTGTATTTTGCAAAAATGTCTCCATAGGTAGAAATTACCTTCTTTATTCATCCCTTTTAAAAACATTTTAAAATGTTATTGTATTTTTATACATTTATTTTATTTATATATTTTTATGTGGTTCTGAGGAAAGAACCCAGTGCCTCATATGAGCTAGGCAAGTGCTCCACTACTGAGCTACAATCACAGCCCCTATTCATCCCTTTTTGGATGATGCCCCCTATTCAGACAAATGATTAAACACACCAAAAATGGTAAATTACAAACTTAACATTTTTATATACTTTTAAACTTTATTTACTTTTATATAATTTTAATATCCCAAATCCAAGTATCATAGGCTGAAACCCCTTAGCATTATATTTCGCTTCTTCTCTCTTATCTACCTTTTCTTTCTTTCCATTGTTAATAAAAAACCCAGTGCAAAAATAAAAAAACCTAGCCTTCATATGGACATTATGAAGATCCATAATGTCCAAGTCACTTATATAACTCCATCCTTAGTATCAGAGAAAATTCTAATTCTATTAGCATGTGTTGTATATTTTTTAAAGGCAGTTAGACCAACAGGTGAATCAAAAAGTCTGCTGTCTACAAAGCACATTTTTATTTAGCAAATTGCATCAGTGCTCTGAGAACTGGATATACCACATCTATCTGCCAAAGCAGAAAAATTTGACAAGGGATGCAGAAATACTTCAGGTATGGTGAAAGAAATGATAGGTTTTATGTGTAGGTGATGTATGGAGTGCAGAAATTATAAGACCTCTCCAAGGTTGGCCTATCTGACATTAGGGACAGGGCTAACATGTCTTAATGGAGGCCTAGCATGACAACCAAAGGCATACTGGATCTTTCTCTGGGCAGCATATGTGTATTTCTTGCTATAATATTATGAAATATCATAAATGAAGGTTTGTCCTTCATTTCTCGACAAATATCTTTATATATCTAGAATCTCCAAAGTGACACATATCTTTTGTGTGCTAATCAGATGACTGGTGGCTGGAGTTTCCTCCTTAGCCTCAGGATGGGGGCTGTTTGCCAGGGGCACAAACCTTGCAATTAGAAGGTTGGAGCTTACAGTACCTCCACCTAACCTAGGGGAGGGGAAAAGGGCTGAGGGTTGAATTGATAAACCAATAGTTAATGATTTGATCAATCAGCTTACTTAATGAGATGTCCTTGAAAAAAAAAAAGAGGAAAGAACTGAGTTCTGAGGGCTTTCTGATAGCTGAACAATGGAGGTCCCAGAAGGTGATATTTCTAGAGATGGCATGGAAGCTCTAGGCCCCTTCTCCCATATCTTGCCTTAGGCATCACTTCCCTCTGTTTATCTGTTTCCTTTTTACTATCCCTAATAATAAACCCATAAATGAAAGTATGTTCCCCTATCATAGGCAAGTAGATTGCCACACTGGCAAATAGATTGGACCCAAGGAGAGTACCATGGGAACCCTGATTTGCAACTAGTTGGTCAGAAAAACAGGCCATAATCTATGCTTATGATTGGAGTCTGAGGTGCTTGGCAGTCTTCTGGGACTGAACCCTCAACCTATGGGGTCTTCCTCTATTTCCAGGCAGATAGTGTCAAAATTGAATTGAATTAGAGGATAGCCAGCTGGTATCTACTGGAGAATACACTGGAGAAGTGTTTGGTGTTGTGTATTGGGGAGGACCCCAACATCTAGGGTCACAGAAATGTTCCATGCTGTGAAGGTATAATGGGAGAAACTCAAAGTTTGTTTTATTCTTATAGCCTTTCACTTACTGGCTCATTTGAATTTGCAGTGGGCATGGATATGTCTAAGACTTCTGGGACCAGCAGAAGAGTCAGCCAGCAGCAGCACCAAGCAACCTTACCCCAAAGCAGCAGCAGGGATGAGATTACCTGGTGTCTCTCCTGGGCCCTGAGCAACACCTGGGGCCCCAAGGTTGTGACCACACAGTTCTCTGATGATGTTTAATCCTGGGACTTTCAGTAACATTTAGGAAGAGATACAGCCTGCCCCTGCATTACCTTTCCACAGGTTAAAGGTGGATGAAGGAAGATCTGAGCTCCGAGAGCTGTAAGAACAAGACCAAAGCTTGACTTTTTCGTTGTCTTTCTGCTCAAAGGGATCAAAATTAGGGAGCAGTGGGCTGGGGTTGTAGCTCAGTGGTACGGTGCTTGCCTAGCACACGTGAGGCCCTGGGTTCAATCCTTAGCACCACATAAAACTGAAATAAAGGTATTATGTCTACCTATAACTAAAAAATAAATATTAAAAAAGAAAATTAGGGAGCAGTGAAAGCAGGAGCTCTTGTGGTTGCTGAGGACTGGAGCTAGCAGTGTGAGAATCCCCTGAGGCCCTGACGGAAGGTGGAAGAAACTTGGAAGGGGAGGGCTGAATCTCCACAAAGTACCTTAGAGAACCTAAGCCCAGGAGGCTTGTGTTATCTTTATTTATTTTCAGTTATCTTTATTTATTTTTTCCTAGGAACCCGGGAATTGTCTTCAAAACAACAAAAAAAAGTTACCCAAGTTTTGAGAAGTTCTGTTCTCCTTAAATCCACTCTCTGAAACTGAATGGTGGAGTCATTTAATAGTAGTCAGGAAGATACTGTCAGAATGGTGAGGGGCCTCTCCCCTGCTCATGGAAGGCCATCATGTTTTTACAAGTGCAGCCAACACTTCAACACATTTATTAAGTACCTACTGTGTATTAGGAGCTGTATTTTTCATGACCATAGTTCAAGGGAGAGGGGGAAAGGGAGGGCTACATCACCTTGGGAACAGATGGTTAACTTCTGGATGTCATCTCTGCACCCACCATTATGTTCACATACTGTAGCTGAAATGGGACCTGGTGTGCATTCTGCCCACTAGTAAGAATGTGCTAATTTTGAAATGGAAAAGTTCTGCTTGACATTTGTCAGTGAAGAGATTACTTAGAGAAGACTTAGAGAAATCACTGCTTCATAGAGGCCTGTCCAGGCAGGATTAGAAAACCTGTTTCACCATATTTTGAAGTTTATCAAACAGGATATTCAATTTAGCAAATTTCCTAACAAACTGACATGAAATCAGAAATCTATTTTATTAATTTACAGTGAGAAAGAAAACTTCCCAGGAGTTAGAAAGCCTATTGTTTAATTTCTCTTCCTCTTATTCTCACTGAACACAAACCAAAATAAGCCCAACTTTCAGAAGATACCTAGAAGAAGAGGAGGTATTTATGCAAGTGTTGTATTTAATGCCATCATGTTAATAGAGCCAAGTACATGCATTTCTGCTCCAAGGATTACCACAAAGTAGACCAGATATTTGCAGAAACTAGATGGGTTCGTTTCTTTGAGATAACAGTTAACTGGGCTTTGAATCTCTTTTTCCCTGTTTCTGTGACTGATCAGATATCTACCATTCTTATCTTCAATATGTCAGTTAGGTGGTAGTCTATTTTGTTTCTTTAAGATAACTTTGTTCATCTCTGTTGATTTTGACCCTTTTGACCAGATGATGATATCATTTCCCAGTCTTCAGGATACCTCTTTATTCGATGTATTTCCTCCCATGTACTTTTTATAAGAGTGATTACTGAGCTTTTAGCTACTTCTTACTCTTTTCTAAAAAATATATATTTCTTAGGTATAGGTGGACAGAATGTCTTCATTGCTGGGAGCCATTAGCCAAGTAGGTATGACAATTTCCTTGCCAGTGTACCCCATGTTGCTTAGTGGAAGGACTCGTGGAAATAGGACATTTTGCAGTGACATTGCATCTAAGGTGACCTTGCTCAAGGACCAGGGCGGATCCGGGTTTAGGGTGTTCCCGATTTAGGACAATCCGGGTTTAGGGTGGTTCCAGGTTTAAGGTTATTCCTGCTGGGAATAGGGCGTATCCTGCTGCCTGAGTTCCCCTTGAGTTCTCACGGGATTCAGACAGTATTTTTTGGGAGACAGAAGCCCAGTGGGGGTGGATTTGGGCAGAGAACGTGGATTTCCCCAGAACGTGATTGTAGACGGCTGGTGTGAGTTCGGGAATAAAGAGTTGCTGTTTGAATCTACAAGCTGTGTGGTGGCTCGTGATTTTGTGCCCAGCCAGACTACGGCACTTCATTTTATTTTATTTTATTGGTGTTGAGGATTGAACCCAGAGCCTCACGTATACCAGGCAAGCACTCTACCTCTGAGCCACAACCCCAGCCCATACTTCTTACTTTGATATTTCTAATTTTACATTGGTTTCAGAAATGGAAGAAATAGGGAAATAGGGATATAGATGTAGACTACATCAGTAACAGGCTAGTTTTAAAATTAAGGTTTCCTAATGCATAACCCTTTGATAAATTCATTAGTTTTCAAAAGTTAATTCTACACTATCATTGTTATTTTAATTAGTATACTTATTACTTAATTGGGCACTGAGGTACCATTTAAAAGAAGAAAAGTCCATTATATACTAGGAAAAACAATTGATTAAATTTTCTAGAAGTAAAATCCATGGGAGCTTAAAAAAAAAAAAAAGTCTTGTAAAATCAGTCACCTGGGTATTCTGTCACTGATTGTGTCCACATGGGTAAAGAAAAGTGGTAAAGCCAGCAATTGTTCAAAATGGAGAAGCAAAACTCTGTTAGTTTTAAATCAACTAAAGTCAAACTAGTAGCTTGGCATTGAGAACCTGGCTAGCATATGAGATTTAAGCTGGTACCAGTTTGTGCTAGCTACTCTCGTTTCCTCCAGAACCTCCTACTCCTCTGGTTTGCTGATCTGGATTCTGCCAAAGCCCTGATTAGGCTTGGAAAGTCAGTCCATTTATGTTTATCAGGATGACTATAGGATTAGTTATTAAAGCCACTGTGTTTTCTGGTGGAAAATCCAAATGGGAGGGAATGTCATTATATATTCCAACCCCCAGGGAAACTTCCTCACCCAAAACATTACCCCTATTCCTCCCATTTTCAAGAAATCCAGTGAGCTTGGTGCTGTGTGGCACACATCTGTAATCCCAGTGGCTCATGAAACTGAGGGGGGCGTGCAGGGATGGCAAATTCAAAGCCAGCCTCAGCAAACTCGAGGTGCTGAACAACTCAGTGTGACCCTGTCTCTTAAAAAAGGGGGGGGGGGGCTGAGGATGTGACTCAGTGGTCAAGTGCCCCTGAGTTCAATCTCCAGTACCCACCCCCAAAATCTAGTGAGTTAATATTTGCTAAATATGTTGATTTTTCAGAAGAATAGGTTTTTAAGTTTTTTAAATTGTATGTACCCCATTTTTTTTATCCAAGTAGGAATGTGTAGAGGCTAATAATGTTTTTTTATTTGGAGTAAATTCCCAATCCAGAATGCCATGGTGTGAATGTTTGTGTCCCTCTAAAATTCATTTTTAATGTGATGGTGAGACCTTTGAAGAGGTGATTAAATCAGGAGGGCAGAACCCTCACAAATGGGGTTAGTGCCTCCATAAAAGAGGCCTGAAGGGTCTTGCATGTCCTCTCTCCTATGTGAAGACAGAGAAAACACTGTTTATGAAGTAGAGAGTGATCCCACCAAAGACTGAATCTGCCAGCACCTTGATCTTGGCCTCTAAAACTGTAAGAAATAAATTTCTCTTGTTTATAAGCCACCCAGTTTAGAGTATTTTGTTATAGCAGTATGGACAAACTAAGACTCTAAATCCAGGGATATAATTTAATGTAATCTTAGACTAACTTTTGTTTTGGTATGCTAAATTCCTATTTTAAAGTTATACTTTAAAAAATACTAAAATAGCCTGTAATTCCAGTGGATTGGGAGGCTGATGTAGAAGGATCTTGAGTTCAAAGCCAGCCAGCCTCAGCAAAAGCAAGGTGCTAAGCAACTCAGTGAGACCCTGTCTCTAAATAAAATTAAAAATAGGGCTGCAGATGTGGCTCAGTGGTTGAGTGCCCCTAGTTCAATCCCTGCTATCTAAAAAAAAAAAAAAAAAAAGACTTAAAATGATTGGCATTAACTTTTTCCTAAGAATTTATGGTATGTACATTCATAGAAATTTCTTAATAGCTTTTTATTATGGCTAAAGTATAACCAACCGAACTTTACAAAAAAAAAAAAGAAGTTAAAATCAGAAATATCTATGCCCACTTCTCTCAAGTCAATTCATGAAAACTGAGAATTCACCAGATTTAAAAATTCTTGGCTTCTGTTACATAGTTACTTGTTCAGACATGCCCTTTAATAACCAAAGAAAAATGTTCCTTCTACCCAAGAAGGAATATAGTTAGAAAAAAATGTTGGAAATTATGACATTCCTTCCCTTAGCAGTAATAAAAGGAATATGAGTGACTGCATTTTAAAAATAGCATTTTATATCTATTAAAAGAGAAAAAAAAGCTGTTTATTACAACAGTGTCAATACTAAAATTATGTGCTCATTCTTTTTTTAATCAACGCATAATAATTGTACATATTCATGGGGTACAGTGTGATATCTTGATACAAATATTCAATGTGTAATGATCACATCAGGGCAATTAGTATAGCCATAACCTTGAATATTTATCATTTTTTTTATATTGGGAACATTCAGAATTCTTTCTTCTGGCTATTTGAAATACACAATTTATTATTATTAACTAGAGTCTCTTTACTGTGCCATAGAACCCAAAACTAGTTTCTCTTATTGATCTATTTTTGTACCTAATAACCAACCTCTTTCTGCCAGCCATCCCCACCCACCTAACCTCTGATAACCAACCACATTGTACTCTTCTATGAAATCAAACTTTTTAGCATCTGACCCTGCTGTATTAGAGTGAGAGTATGTACTATTTATTTTTCTGCGCCTGGCTTATTTCATTTAACATAATGATCTCCAATTCTATCCATGTTGTTACAAATGACAGAATTTCATTTTTATGGTTGAATGGCATTCCATTGGGTGTATACACCACATTTTATGTAAGCATTTATTCATTGATAGATACCTCAGTTGATACCTTATTTTGGCTATTGTGAATAGTGCTGTAGTAAACATCAGGATGCAGATATCTATTTGATATTCTGATTTCCTGTCCCTTGAATACATACCTAGTAGTGGGATGACTGTGCTCTGACTGTGCTCATTCTTGATGATACTATGAATTAATACAATCTGTTTAAAAAGGAATATGGCAATAAGAAACAATAGCTGTAAATATAGTCAAAACTTTTGTTATTCCACTTTGAGGAATTTATCCCAATATAATTATTCAAAAAAGTAAAAAGATAGATAAATGAATACACTCATTATCTCTTTATACACAATAATAAGAAATGAGTATAAGCAAAATAATCAATATTAGGGTATAGACTAAAATTTTTATTAATTGCCTGTAGAAACTAGGTACCACACTCCTTCATCAACCTTAATTGAAACTGAGTGCCTATTTCATAATACAAGTGAGTATTACAGACACTGCAGACAATCCAGCAGCTGACACTGATGAATAATGATCCATTCCATAATATAATATCAAATTTATAAAACTTAGTTACTAAAGTTTTAATGAAATTGTAGTTTCAATAGTCATCTATCCTAATATAACCTGGTTCTCAGAGTAACCTAGTAATTGATGAGAAAATTTTTTGATATCTTTTTATTCTTTTTAGTTATATGTGATAATAGAAGTATTTAGACATATTATACATACATGGAGTATAAATTCTCATTCTTGTGGTTGTACATGATGTGAAATTCTATTGGTCGTATATTCACATATGAACACAGGAAAGTTATGTTCAGTTTATTCTACTGTTTTTTCTGTTCTCACCTCTTTCACTCCCCTCCCTTTGTCTAATCGAATGAATTTTTATTCTCCCCCTTCCTTATTGTGTGTTAACATCCACATATCAGAGAGAACATTCAACCTTTGGTTTTGGGGGATTGGATTATTTCACTTAGCATGATAGTTTCCAGTTCCATCCATTTACTGGTAAATGCCATAATTGCATTCTTCTTTATGGCTGAGGAATATTCCTTTGTGTATATATACCACCTTTTTTAAATCCATTCATCTGTTGAAGGGCACCTAGGTTGGTTCCATAGCTTAGCTATTGTGAATTGAGCTGCTGCAAACATTGATGTGGCCATGTCACTATAGTATGCTGATTTTAATTCCTTTGTATATATGCTGAGGAGTGGGATAACTGGGTCAAATGATGGTTCCAACTTTTCTGAGGATTCTCCATGCTGCTTTCCAGATGGTTGTACCAATTTACAGTCCCAATAGCCATAGTGTACCTTTTCCCCCACATCCTTGCCAAATTTATTGTTGAAATGCTTCTTTATTATAGTATTATAGTCAATAAATGAAGAAGGAATAATAGAGTTAGAATATCACTATATAGGCATTACTATGGCTGCTAGCATGCCAGGATGATGGCAGGCAATGTGTGGCTTCTGGGCTTCTGACAGAAATATGTAACAGTGAGGCAGTTTTGTCCCCCACCAAAAAAAAAAATTATATAATGATGAAGTCTTAGATTTTAATTTATAGAAAATGCACAGGCTTGAGGAACATGTTCAATTACTATATGGATATTCAGTCAAAGTTTAGACAGTGGGGACTCCTATAAGGCTATGGTCCTTTTTCTTCAATAATCAAAATTTCAAGGAAAAAGAAGACCTATGGGGAAATTATAGATTAAAAAAAGCAAAATAGAACAGACACCAAACTTCAAGATATATGTGTGTGTGTGTGTGTGTGTGTGTGTGTGTGTATATATATCAAATAATATAATATCATGTATATATACATTATACATCAAACAATAACAATGTAAAGACATTGTGTGTAGTTTGCATAAACTGTTCTTAAAAATGTTTTATACTTTCAAAAAGGAAAATGTGAGTATTGGATATTTAAAAGTATTAAGTAATTCTTCTTGATTTATGGGGAAGTAGTGGTATTGAGGCTATTTTAAAAGTCCTTTTTGTGGATACCTATGATCCCAGTGGCTAGGAACTCTGAGACAGGAGAATTGCAAGTTCCAGGCCAGCTTCAGCAAATTAGTGAGGCCCTAAGCAACTTAGCAAGACCCTGTCTCAAAATAA